TGCTAGTAAATTAACATTCAATGAAGATAAAGAAGGGGAATCTGTTTTCTTTGCTCTGTTCTAGAGTGTTTCCTATTAAAGTGTTTTTATTGTCACCCATTAGAAGATAGTGATCATCTAAATTCAATGTACTGTACACATTTGCGGTGACCTGTTGTAGCATGGAAAGTAATGTTATACAGTCTGGTACGCATCTCACAAGCACTTCTTGTTAATGAGCTATCAGCCTTTTTACAGCAATTAGATCTAAGTTAAAAAAAAAAGGAAAAGAAATGAACTCTGCTTATAGCAATGTTCCCAGTTTTTAAATTAAATAAACTATGCTGTGTTGGTTACATTTATGTAACGAGGGACCTTGCAATTGGGGTTGTAAGTGGAAAATTGCATTGCAAAAGTTAGGTGAAAGTAGGAAAATTGAATGGTGATTTTTCTTTTTCATCTTGAACTAAATTTTGAAATGTAACAACAAGTTTAAAAGAACACTATAGGGTCAGGAACACAAACATGTATTCCTGACCATATAGTGTTAAAACCACCATCCAGCCCCCTTTTTCCCACTAAATATAGTAACATCTTACTTTTGTACAAGTCTGCAGCTGCTGGCTTTGCCATTAATCTCCCTGCTTGGCTGACATCATCAGAAGTGTTGTTCTGAGTCAATCACAATGCTTTTCCATAGGAGTGGCTGAGACTATCAAGGAGGCAGATCAGAACACACTAGCACTAGCCAATCAGCATCTCCTCATAGATATTATTGAATCAATACATGTTTATTAGGAAAGTTCAGTGTCTCCATGCAGAGGGAGGAAATACTGAATGCTGAATACAGACTACTGCCCCAGGAAGCACATCTTGTGGCCATCTGGGGAGTGGCCAGTGGAGGTATCACTAGGCTGTAATGTAAACATTGCATTTTCTCTGAAAAGACCGTGTTTACTGCAAAAAGGATGGATGGAATGATTATACTCACCTGAACAAATACAGTAAGGTGTCCCTTTAAGAGATTTAAGAAAACTTAAAGATTAATTTTGATCCTAACTGCAATTTGTCTGGATTCAGGTTGATTGGGTGAATGGACAAATTCCCGAACTCTGAGCTGAAATGTAGCCGAACTATAAACCAAAGGATATACGCGATGGCTGAGCCATGTTCATTTTCATACGTGATTCCATTTGTGAAATTCTGCCATGTAAACGTCTAGTAAGGAGGAATAATTGGACAAGGTGAAGTACTGAGTTGGTATCTATCTTAAAGTGTCTCTATCACCAAAAATAAACTTTCTCTAATCTGCGTCTACATAATTCCCTGTGTCTGAATCTGGTTTTATTTTTAATTTTCTGAGTGCTTCATAAATAAATAGAGAAATGTAGGGATAGGTTCAGAAAACTTGACAGTGGTAAAGACAAAAAGAAATTAGAGGCACACCTAGAACATGCATTTTCCAGGAATAGTGCAGCCAAAATGTATACATAAAACGTAAATGAACAGCGCACATAAAAATACAGTTCAAATTAAACAAAGCTACTTAAAATCACCTATCTTCTCAGCAAACAAATATGTGAATTCAGTGTATTCAGGTATTTAACGAAGGACCCACCGATATTGGGGCACTGTGAAGTAGTGGTAGGCTTAACACAATAGATCGGTATGGTGGAACTGAATCCTCATATTTGTTTGCTGAGATAGGTGATTTAAGTAGCCTTATAACATTTCAAAATTTATTTTTATATGTGCGCTGTTTGTAAAACTTGACAATGGGTGAAGCACATAATGGGCAGAGCAGAACAATATGGATGCGCCCAGATATCGAGATCCAGAACTAGGATGAAAATAAAATAAATATAAATAACGGTAAGGGGCAAGCAGAGGAGTGTAATCATTACGATACAGGGATCATAGGGAAAGAAAAAAACAAAAGTAAAAAAAATCAAAACATGACAGGGCCACTTTAAATTAAATAATAAAAATATATAGTCATGAGTAGTTAGTTTGTCAAGTCTCATTTTGCTCATTCTATTCTGTTTAATCCAATGCATTGCCAAACAATTCATTTGCTCCATTGAGTGGTTCGTGTTGATGGATGGTCTTTTCATCTTACCATAGGCCATCCTTGTGCTTGCAGATTTCCTTGCTTGTCTTTTAGTCACCTCTGTGACCCTGTAGTTGGGTGAAGTATTTGCTATAATCAGGTTCAAGTCCATAGACAGTTGCAAGGGTCAACCAATGCCCCTTCCTGGTCTCCTCCGAGAGAGGCTTCCCCCTGCTAAAATCATTTAGACCGCAGCGGTTTTACATTTCCATTGTTCCCTTGTCATGGTTTTCTAAAACTTTTTTTTTCTCCAACAATGACATCGTCTTAAAAGCTTCCAATCCCATTCTTTTTTTTTATATAATAGCTGGATCCATCTTAGTATATGTCTTCCATAATTGTCTCAAACCAATTCCTTCTAAATGAATTAAAAATGCAAATCTAATATCTTAATTGTGTAATATGATAAGGTTGGCAGCTCAATCAATACCATCTACCTCGGTCAATAATACTTCTATGATGCATGTTTGTCAGAGTTGCCCAATATCACTTTATCACCGGGCACAACGGCCCTTCCACATCTATAAGATATGACATTTTATTACAAGTCTTCTATCAATCAAGTCTAATTTGGGGATGATAGAGATTTATGCTGTCGTCTTGTAGGCTGGAAACACAAGATTTGCTCTTTGAATCCGGAGTCAGTGACAATTCAGGTTAAAGCATCTCAAGGGCTTCTGCATTAGGTTACAACCCTAAGTTTGGCCTTTGCGTTGCATAGTCATATCTTCATTTTATAGCCACAAATAGAGAGATCTATTAAGTGACATGAATATTAAGCAGAGACAAACACGAACGTTGCAAAGCCTCAGACTGCATTGTACAAAGTGTTACATTTGTAGTTTTTTTCAAATAATTGCTTACCTTTATACATTTATATGTTTATACACTTTTAATCCGCAATTATGCACAATTCACTAGATTAAAAAAGATTCAGCTACCAATAAAACAGGCCTATAAGTGAAAATAATGTAAGAAACAATGTTTGCTTTTTTTTATCTTTTATATGATTTCTCTTCTATCTCTCTCTCTGCAATTTTATTACACTTTTTTCATAAACTACCACTTCAGCTTTTCTTTACTTGGGATAAAATACACAATTTGGTAAATAATCTATAGTATTTTATAAAAATTCGACCATTTTGTTTTACAAATGTGTGCAAAGACCTTTAAAACAATGGACTGTCTATTGCAAAAATATAACATGGAAAAATATATAATAAGTAGAATGTAAGACAATCAAGCAACATTATATAGGTAAGTATTCTATGATCTTATTATATTTAAATATGATTAAGTAAGGTAAAACTGATTCTCCTTTTGACCATTCACTTCAATCTTGCCTGTGTCACATGACTACAGGCTAGAATTAAGGAGACCATTATATAAATGATGAAAATGTTACATTGGTAAAATAATAGTTTCTTTGCCAGGATTGGACATTGAAAAATTAAAGGATTATTCCAAACCTATTAGGCACTAGTAACTTAGTGCACCCCCCCCCCTTCCCCCCACCACCGCTTATTTCAAGTGAATATCCCATTAAAATAGTTTTAGCCCCTTAAGGACACATGACATGTGAGACATGTCATGATTCCCTTTTATTCCAGAAGTTTGGTCCTTAAGGGGTTAAACTTAATCCAACTTCAGGCAAATTTCTTCTAACTGGTTTCCACACCTGTCCATCGTCACTCCTTGACTCTCTGAAATCCAAACGAATGCTTCTTCCAGAGAAGCATTTGTTTGGATTGATCTGACTGTCTCAGAACGCATGCGCGTGCTCTTTGAGTTGAAGAGGGTGGGAGTGGCTTTGAATTATAGTCAATGCAGTGAGGTGTGGAGGGCTGGGACATTAAAGGAAGCAGGGGTCATGAGAGCTTCCCCTTGCAGGTGGACTTACAGTGGTGCCTGGGAGTGTAAAGGATTTTTACATCTGTCGCCAGCACTCTGCATGCTAACAACAGATGTAATTCTTGCTCAGAAAGACCATCTGTGCTGGGGGTGTAACTAGCCCATGGCATAAAAGTGCAGATATCTCTGTATGTGTAGCATTTTAAGCAGAAACAGTGCATTTAAAGTTCCCGACTGCCATAACCACTTCTAACAGCAGAAGTGGTCACTGAGGTTGAAATAACCCTCTAAGTAAGATAACATTGTTAATTCTATTATTTATAACAATTATGTTTGGTGGAGAAGGTTGATCTGTACCTTTGGAAGTGTCTAATTAAGAGACAATAATCCAGGTCCCAAGATATTAACACTGTAATAGTTATCTATTGTTCGTAAGAATAATCGCCCAATTACTTTCATTCAGGGCTGGTAGATATTATATCTGGGAACAAACACATTGTACAAAATGACCAGTGAATGGAAGATTTGAGTTGGAAAGTAGACATAAAGAAACAAACTAGGAAAAAGAACAATTGTGTTGTATGGGGTATTTCTAAGTGTACATTATAGGATGACCTTGAACAAAATCTTAACCGCAATGTAATTGAGAAAATATATCAATCACTGTGAACTAAGATACTCTCCAGGGGAAGTAAAGTGTAATTTAGACCGTCACAGGATTAAATGGTTCTAGGTTAGTAATCTATTAAATTGCAAAATAAATTGTCCTTTTCCTAGATTTGTTCAAGCAGGTCTGCAATCCATTCTACATATCCTTTCATAACTGCAGAGTTATAATCTTAATAAGTTAGAAAAAAGACACAAGATGATTAATGCTGGAGTAGACACCGTATGGGTCTTGGGCTGAAAATTAAACTTCGGCTAAATACAAAATTTGAAATTGTGTTCCTGGTCTAATATACCAAAACTAATTTTACAAGACTTTGCAGCCATAAATAAAGCCATCCCTACGTGCATTTATATACTAAGAAATCAAACATATCAAATCCATTATCATAAGCCAACGGAGCAAGAGAGACATTTGCTGGGAAAGCAGAGGTACTAGGGTTCTCAGCCGGGCCTATGGATCAGAGGGCACATGGAATCCATACTTTTGGGCAGAGGACCCTGTGAATCCACCCTGTGCATTAGAGGGCACAGGGGATCCATCCTATGGAACATGGGACACCTGGAATCTAAACTATAGATCGGAGGACACCGTGAATCCATCCTATGGATCAGAGGACACAGTGAATCCATCCTATAGATCAGAGAACACAGGAAATCCATTTTATGGATCAGAGGACACAGTGAATCCATCCCATGGATCAGAGGACACAGTGAATCCATCCCATGGATCAGAGGACACAGTGAATCTTTCCTATGGAACATGGGGCACAGGGAATCTAACCTATGGGTCAGAGAACACAGTGAATCAATCCTACGGAACATGGGACAGAGGGAATCCAACCTATGGATCAGAACAGGGAGGTCATCCTATGTGTCAGAGGGCACAGTGAATCCATCCTATGGGTCAGAGGACACAGGGAATCTATCCTATGGTACATGGGGCATGGGGCACAGGGAATCTAAACTATAGGCCAGAACTAGGAGGCCATCTTATGAGTCACAGGGATTCCATTCCCAGAGATCACTATATGCACAGCTCCAATGACTCCTCTGGAACTTTAGGTTTTAAGGACCGTGTTTCCCATGATGCTGGGCCTGGCCAAGGAAGATATTGGGCTTTCTTCACCTCCTTCACCTCTTTTCTCTGTTATATTCATTATGTCAGTTACTTGTTGTCAGCTATCCCCATTCTAATTGTAAAGCACTACAGAACGTGCTGGTGCCTATGGAAATGCTGATAATAACCAGTGTCTCCATGGCCACATGCTAAGACTACTCAGCATTTCAGGCAGCTGCAGATTACAATAACAATCAGGAACCTTGGACCTATCGTAATGTATGGGCCTATCCAACAGGCCCTATGTTAATCTGGCCCGAAGACAATCAAATCCATATTTACAGATGCAGAAAGAGACCAGAAGAAAATCCTGTTGCCACAATTTTATTTAATTATTATTTTTTTTAAATAATGAATTAGCTTTCTGTTACAGAGTGACAATGAGGTTGTGTAGTTAATTTTTTACTTTGTAGAAGGACTATGCAACGTGCCATTTTATAGAAGATATTGACTATGTTTTCATGTATATTGTGTATATCGACATGGGAGACGCACCCCTTAGTCATGCTCCCTTCTCAATGGTTTAGTGAGACTTATTAACCAGTGTTAATTTTCCAATATATCCCTGGATTGCTACAATTAATTCATCTTGCTTATCCAACAGATCAGTTTATGAACAATACTTTCTATATTATTCTTTATTACTGTTTCTTTCTTTTTATCAGTAATACATTTATTATTGTTTTATGTGTATTAAAATACAAAATTAAGGATAGTGTAATTTTGTAAACATCTATGCTAATTCTCAAAAAAATTTATTAGTATCTCATCTAACTAGGGCATCCATGTGTTAATTTGAGATGAAAGCACTATCATATTAGAAGTCTAGTATACATAGATTTAAAAAAAAAAAAAGAAAACTATTTGTTTTGGTAAATTTCTTTTATTCAGTATTTTCAAATTTATAAGAGGCTGTCGTTGTGGACACGCAGGTCCAGCAGTAATTCGTTGCAGTTACTTCTCAATCAAATAATAGGTACATAGAGCGGCAGTGGTGACGTGCAAGTCATCCAGTAACAATAAGTGACAATGTTAAACACAAAACGTTGCGATGTAAAAGCATGAAGATGCCTGCGCAGAGGCTGATTTCGCAAGGTAAGTGTACGCTAATGGGCAGTCGGTATGTAGGTGCTTTGCCAGAGTATGTATGTCCAGGGCAGTACAGGGTGCAAGGTGCAATTATGCGTAAAGAGGCTATATCGCCCAGTTATATCGTATACTGTGTTATTGCCAGTGCTGACTTGTCCTGCTGATGGTAAGACTTCTGTGCGGGCTCTCTGGCCCCTAGTTCGTCCAGTTATCTGTTGTGCGTGACCCTCGGGTCTCTAGCGGTCAGTATGTCTCGTGTCATCTGGGGCCATCAGGTCCCGTTGTGCCTGTCTATACGGCTCTATGCATGACCGTGCATTTCCGCATTTTTGTCAATTTTGGTGCGTTCGGTGTGAGAATGAGCGAAGGTTCCCGTGTGGCTTCGCCTATCAGTCAGTCCGTTGTCCGTCGTTGACGGGTGGGGTAGGTGGGAAAAAGTAAGGGGGGGGGGGGGTTTTCCCCCCGGAGGCCCTCTGACGGGGTCCAGTTGGCAGGTAAGGCTTCCATATGTGAGTCTCGCAGGTGTTAGTAATCTGTTCTCCCAGTGGTCTGGGGTCTCAGGTTCCGTCAGTCTTCCCCCAGTGTGTCCAGGAAGTTATCTCCTGATGTTGTCAGAATCCAGTGCGTCCAAATGTCTAAGTATCGCTGTGCCCTATCTGTAGCCGTCAAGTGTAAGTCTTCCGTCACCCTGAGGTCCTCCATTTTCGCGAACCATTCCCTAAGGGTAGGGGGCTCAGTGTCCCTCCAGTGTAGGGGAATGAGTTGTTTGGCAATATTTAGTATTCTTATTGTCATGGATCTTTTGTAGATATTGCTAGGCCCCTTAGTATGGTGTAGTAGCATTGCTGCCGGTTCAAAGGGTGGAGGGTGCTCTGAGAATTTCTGTATGAGTTTGTGTATCCCCCGCCAGAAGGGTTGCATCTTCTCGCAGGACCACCAGATGTGTATATGCGTCCCTGTTCCCGTCCCGCATCGCCAGCAGTGTGCGGGGTGGTCTGGGTGTATGCTGTGTAGGACATCCGGGGTGCGGTACCAGTGCGTGAGCAGTTTATATGCAGTCTCCTGGTGTCTGCTGTAGGCCGCGCAGTGGTGTGTTAGTGTGCAGATTTTGTCCCATTCCCCATCGCTAAATTTTTGATTTAGGGCCGTTTCCCATTTTCCCTTAAACCTAGGCGTTTCCACTGGGATCTGTATTTGGAGTAGGCTGTATAATTTGGATATCCCGTGTGGGAGTGGTTCTGGGTCGAGGCATAGTTGCTCGAATTCCGTGGGGGTGCGCCGTAAGGCCTCACCCTGGGGTAGGGTCTGGAGGTAGCTTGTCAGTTGCGCGTATGTGAACGTCTGTATGAAGGTCGGGGGCCGGTCTCCCGTGAGGTCTGAGAGGGGCTTCCGGCCTGCTGTCGTGTAGATGTGGTGGAGCCTGGGTAACTGTTCTGGGAGAATGCTCCTAAGGGCTAGTGGGTCGAGTCCCGGTGGGAACTCTGCATTATGCGTCAAGGGGAGCAGGGGTGATGGGTATGGGGTCAGGCCAGCTCTGAAGAAAACTATTTGTAAGCTATAATCATATTATCTATAACAGTAAATGATATTGTTAAGGTGACGTCTATTAAGAAATGTAAGCACAATATGACCCCACTGTAGCCCCATTTATTTCAAAGTGTGCTATTCGGAGAGAATATAGAATTCACATTAAGCTACATTCTCTAACACAACTAGGAGAGGTCTGTGTGCATTAGTATAGTGTATTTAAAAGATGCAGGAATGTAAGTCAGCAGTTTAGTATATCAGATTAATATCCTACATTAGACTTCTCTTAAAAGGAGAAAGGAATAGCGTACATACCATTAAATGCCAGTGGGGATATCGGATGAAAATGTATTTAAAAAGTTGGTTCTATCAATTTTAATGTGAGTCTGGTAACATCAGACTACCGACATGATGAAATTGATACATAATGCATTTCAGATCATTTAAATTGTTTGGACAATATATCCTGATCAGTAGATAAGACATGGTATATGATGCATACTGTGCACACATACGTGGGCCTATAAATATTACATGAAACAGGCCTGTGCCCAATTTAATTACATACATCGGACGATCTGATTAGATTTTGTTCATGGGAGTTAGATCTGAATACATCTAGACACTCCTGTAACATGCAAACATGTTAAGACTGTGAGTATAGCCCAATGTTTGACCCTAGAGAGACATTTTCTGCAGCCAGATGTGCTCATACCTTGATGTCCTAGTCCTACCCGTATCTGTGCACTTGCTGTCTCTCACCCACACTTAAGTCTCTTTAATTCTATCTTACTACTTTATGTATGACCATCTACACTTCATGGATATATCGCAACTGCCCCGACCCTATTAATTCTCTTTTACTCTCTCATCCCACAAATTTACTTATTCCCTTAAATTATTTATTTTTCCTGCTGTCATAACTGAAGGTACAGTTGTATCATCCTTATAGGTTGACTGGAGGAATCTTCAGAATTGATCATTTGTCCTCTCGTTTCATTGTGTGGAGCCTTTAAGATTCATGGCGCTGGGATATGATATTATTTAAGTGGCAGCTGGTGATGGTGACAAAGCAAGGTGCTAAACAGATCAACTTTGACCCAAGCACAAAGATAGCAACATATAAAATACATGTGGTATGTGAATGGTATACATGCCTCACAACCGTCACAAAGTCGGCCCACGATCCAGATTTTTGGAAACTGTCCTCACTGTCCCACCTTAGTTCCCTGTTGTCCAGGGAACTGTCCCCAACATTCATAGCACGAGAGCTTCCCAAGACATGCTCGCGCTATGATTTGCGCACTAGGACCCTGCAGTTAGTAATGAAACTGTGCTCCATGCAGGGTCAGCCTCGGTGGGTCGGCCTGAGTGATGGACTGGCAGACTGGTTTAAATTCACATCAGGTTGACCTGACATTAACTTGGGGGACTCACACACTTTCCGGGTGTGTCTACCCCATTAGGGGCAGAGCCAGTAATGCAGTTGTGTCACTTGCCCTCACCCTTTACCTCCGAGCTGGGAGGTATGGCTATATATGATATATAGATTGTTGAGTATCAGTACAAGATGTTTCCTATGACCTTCCCAGCAGTTCCAAGTCAAAGGTTCTCACAAATGGGAAGGGAACTGAGTGCAGTATGTGCCTGGAAGCAAGTCACATCAGGGAGGATGGTGTGAAAATTCTATTTCCTTTAAAAATATAGTATTGTGGCAGCATCCCCATGCTTTCCTACTGTACTTTGCACCAGTGACTAGGTACCAAATGTCAGCCGTAAGGAGGAGAGTTTTGCTTTAAAAAGAGACTGCCCCGCACTAAAACCCAAAAAGACAAAAAACGCATGTAAAAAAATAAAATCTTTATCCTATTTCCCTAGACATGTTCGTGTTAATACATATGGGGCAATGTATCAAAGTGCTCTGTTCTAAAAAGTGGTGCAAAGTACTAAAGGTGAGACGGTTACCATGGAAACAAATGTTACCATCAGCATATTCTTTCTGTGAATCCCCCCCCCCTCCCCTTTTTGCACCACTTTTTAGGACAGAACATTTTAAATTGAATCTCCCTCAATGAGTGTAATGATTTTTTTTTCTATTGCATTGCAAATAATGTATTTATCACTTTATCTATTAATCTTTCCACAAGCTCTCCGTGTTTTCACTTATGGCAGAGTAAAGGGTTCTTTACAATAAGAACAACAAAGATTTGCTGAATTCTCGGTCTTATTAGATTCTATAGAAAATGTAAAAAAAAGGCTTGGGTGCTCTTTTGCTTAAACAGAATATTCAAGGATATAATTAATATTTATGTAAACAAGTTGTTGATCCAAGGAGAAATCTGATTCTCTGGGCTTCAAGGTTGAACTTGATGGACTTTTTTCAACCTAGAAAACTATGTAACTATGTGAAACTAAATTGTGCTGGTTTAGAAGAAAGCACATTCTTTTCTCTGTTAACATTGTCCAAAGAGCACTAGAACTTCTGGAATATCTTTTATATATATTAATTTCGTCTGCATCTTTTACCATGTGCATATGGAAAACTATTAAATTAAATTTAATAAATAATCTCTCTTGCATGAAGAATTAAAGACCATATATTTTAATTCCGGCTTTTTATTCCTAATTTAATGTACATAATTATTTGATTTTTTTATTATTTATTTGTTATTTTGCATTTTTAATTAAACAATTTTTTGATCAGCTGCTAGCATTTGAGGTTTCTCACGTGGCTTCCTCTTGTGGTTTTATTGATGACCTGTTATTTGTGTTGTTTCTCGGGGAGATAGATAACATGATTTGGTCTGTTTTGAGTATCAAAAGCATAACCACGATCTCACCAAAATCAATTCCTCACATAAACCCATTAGTGATTAACCTTTCACAACATTTTATACATTGTAATGCATTAGACCAGAACCAATATTAAACTAACTCACCTTTATACACCTGGATAAGACCTTTCATTGACTTGTTGTACACAATTTGTGTAAAAAAAAAAAGACGTATTAATGGTTTACCAGTTTTAAATTATGTTTGAAACTAATTATCAATACATTGTATGATAATAGAGTACAGATTACTAAAATGTATGGTATGAGATGTGTGTTCCCTGCACGTACTGTGTTACTATGTATTTACCCAGTATGTAAGGGGCAAGGAATGTAGGGAATTTGCACAGTAACATCATTAATAAATGACACATCTGAGCTTCCACCATGACGTCTACCCAACCTCTGATATGGTAATATATACAGTAATATCTATATAGTAATATATGTTATATATGGTATGGGATTGCATATGATTTATTTATTGCCGAGTATAGTTGCTGTAACTTTAGGCCGCCATGTTTAGGACAAAGAGACCTTCCAATCTCAATGTACGATCAAACATGGTTTTCTTCTCCCAGGAAGGTTGGAAATCGTGGCAAGATGGCTGAGTAGAACCAAAAGATCTCATCTGATACATTAGAAGTTGTGGCACCCTACAGCATATTGGCTCCCTATGGAGTGATTGGTACTAAATTTCAAGAGAAATGTTATCATGTTTATGGGCCCATTGTATTGATCGGTGTGCCGGTCCAGAACTCTACTTGGGCAGCTCGAGTCAATCTTACAGATCCAACACATGGCCCACTTCCATACAGCAGTAGGAATGTTGCCTGAGCAACATCAATTCAGGTCCACAACTGGTTGCCTCACCCAGGCATTTCTGGGGTTGCAGGGGTGACGTGGACCAATCAAAACCTATTTAAACCTGTTTTGACCCTCTTTCAGGGCCCTATTGTGGTCTCTCTTGTAGTGCCTGATTAGTGTGTTCTGTATTCCCCTCTATGTGT